CCCCCCCCCTTTCAATTATCACTGCTGCTAAATTAATGCTTAGACTCACCATAGTCGAATTACGTGCGGGGACCAAGACTTATAATTGCCCATGACATAATTTAAAGGATTGGTTGATACAAAAGACAATCTTCAAAAGTTTTAGAGAAGCAGCTGATCTACTTGTTTTCATTTGCCCACGATTTTTCTGCTTGTTTTTTATAAACATCATGAAACTTTGACGGACGTTGTTCACCCCTGTTGTTGGCAACTTTGGTAAAGGAGCGGGTCTTGTAGTCTGCAGTCCTGTTGTAAATGGTCCGTTGCAATGCCTTAAAAATTTTTTTAAAATATATATAAATAAACCAAAAGTAGAGAATTGTGTTGTGAACATCGGAATTCATGCAACTTTTGAAACAGTGGTCGGCCAGGCGGTGAACTTTCAATGGAAGTGATTAACCTATTTCATCCATATAGAGGGGCGATTCGGGGTGTTATTGGGCGAATTAGAATGTAGACTGAGAGAGGATGTGAAGGGCCAGGAAATATTATTTTGAATGCACAAAGCTCATGATAATCTCCTGACCGTGGTGTGAACATGTAGGAACAACACTTTAACACCCGTTTCTTTGGACAAGGAAATGATAATACATACTTTCATACTTTCTTTGAAAGTATGCGGATACTTTCTTTGAAAGTATGCGGTACTTTCTTTGCAAGTATGCGGGTATGACTTTATCAATGACTTTAGTTGGGTACGTTGATTCCCGCTCCATTAAAAAAAAGGAACTGCGTCAGGTCCTAATAAGCGCGCGGGACATATTAAACATTTTCAGTGGGTAAGAACTTTTTAATTTTCACCGGTGGCGGCCGAACTCTCATCGATTTTGGACCGCCAAGGAATCTCTAACGTGCGCAATTTGCACACGGGACCTCCGAGATTTTTCACCCTTATCCTTTTTATCCGAAAAAGGGGGGGGGGGGGGGGGTGGCTTAAAGACGTCCGTATGAAGGAGCCGAGGAGTAGCAGTAGAAATTTCGACTGCAGAAAGAGAGCCTAGAGGAGGGGGCAAAAGAGGTGAGGGGTGGGGGCAGAAAGTAGAGACGAAAGCAGAAGACAGAACATTGTTAGAGAGCCGGAATGGAGGTGACAGGATAAAATAGAGAAGAAAATTTTCCGTCGATCCGGATTCGAGCCCGGGACTAGGCTAGGCTCGGGACCATTGAATGAACAGGGAACATCTTATCCTCTTGGCCACGAGAGCCCCATTCCCGTTCCAATTCTAAGATTAGGGAGAAAACCTATACGTTCTTAACTACCGTCTCTGACCGTCTAGGAGAAAATCCATTTACAATGGACATATCAAATCAATGGGGGTGTAAAATGTTTACAATTATAACTATAGATCTAGATCTATGACACATGTAATTATTGTTTTATCTCCGCGTTTTAACACGAAATGTCTTTTCATTCGTTTCTTCTCTCTCTCTCTCTCTCTCTCTCTCTCTCTCTCTCTCTCTCTCTCTCTCTCTCTCTCCCTCTCTCTCTCTCTCTCTCTCTCTCTCTCTCTCTCTCTCTCTCTCTCTCTCTCTCTCTCTCTCTCTCACACACACACACTTTTTCGTTCTCTCTCTCTCTCTCTCTCTCTCTCTCTCTCTCTCTCTCTCTCTCTCTCTCTCTCTCTCTCTCTCTCTTTCTCTCTACCTCTCCCCGAGACTTCATTTGAATCTGGTTAAGTTGAGTAAATTTTGCGTCAAGTTTTATGTAGATCTAGATCTAGGCCATCAATACAAATTAAAAAGTTGGCCTACATGTACGAGGGGGCTACCAAAGTTTTTTTGTCTGCTGACCATGAAGGAATAAAGGTAGAAAACTGAAATTTGGCACTAAGCTTAATCTTTCTCTAGTAGTCACCTCCCCCGGTGATATATATCTGTGTAATTGGAGTATAACCTTGAAAAGACCTTGAGAATAGAAGACCCTCTCTTTGTCAGAAAACCATATTACCGCTTCTTTGACCTTCATCACTTTCAGAATGCCTTATTTTAAAATCCCTTTTTTCAGCTTGGGGAATAAAAAAAAAGTCGGACGGGGCTAAATCTGGAGAATAGGGTGGGTGCGGCAAAATTTTATAGCCACTTGCTCACCTTGTAAGAACAAAAACTTCATCATTGCCCTGTGCTCAATTTTCTTCATATTTACGTTGAAAGTGGAGAACAACATACCCCCATTCAATTAAAGTGCGCTGGTGTTAAAACTGGTAATGGGAAATTCCCCAAAATTTACATGCATTCTAGGATGATGCCTGTTGGCTTTCACCCAAACTTTCAGCCTACCTTTATTCCATCATGGTCAGGTAAAAAAACAACACTTTTGGTATGCCCCTCGGATGTCTTGCGTGTAGGTTTTAGTATTTTGCACACTCTAAGTTTTTTTTGGGTTTTTTTAAGTAGAGGTTTTACGACGCTTGCAACTGCATGAGGTCATATGAGCGCCAGAAGATTAGAGGTGTTACAAGAGAGTAACAAACATAAAAAAGAAGGAGGGGAGATAAGGACGAGGTGTTTGATAGGATAGGCAAAGTCTAAGCTTAACACGAAACAACAATTGTAATTGACTACTTTGTAACATTATAAATGATTGAAAAATTCCCCTGTACAAGACAGTTTCCAAAGTTATATGAATGGAAGCATTAGATCTACTTTCCACAAACTAATAATTGTGTATCTGTTACTTTGTATTTCGGAGAGTGTGTTTTGAGCGAGCGGGACACATTACATATTATCAGTTGGTAGGAATCAATTTTGAATTTTGCCCCGGTGGTGGTCGATGCCTGTCTTATCGATTTTGGACCACCAATGGGATATTTTACGAGCGCAATTTGCACATGGGACCCCTGGGATTTTAAATCACCCTTATCCGAGAAGGCCAGAACGTGTTATAGATCTTACATACCCTAAGATCAAGGCGTGTGGCTGAAAGACTGCAGTACAATGTAATTACATGTAGAAATACGGAGTCAAGCAATGGTAGAACGGCTGCTATTGAAACATTAGATCATTAGGCTATATCCGATGCCAATTAAATGTAAGCTATGTATAGGCCCCTATATATTTAATGGTTTTTGTGTCTCAACAGATGATTTTTTTCGTGGACGGTATTAAATGCTTAGCAAGGAATTAGATCGCCCAAGAGAATACACCAGGGTGTCCAAAAAGTCGCCCACCATCCTGAAACATACACTAGTATTGTTACAGATGCTCAGATAATTGAGCATCATTTTCATTTATAAAATATAACAACTCTCCATTCTCCGCAAAAAGCTGTTTTTAACTTTCCTTAGGGTATCTGAATGGATGTTGGGACGATGGAAATTGCATGTCTCAATTCGTCAAGAGAGCGTGGACACAGAGGGGGGAAAAAAAGCAGAAAAACAATTGTAGGATGGTGCGTGACTTTTTGGACACCCTGCTAATACGTACATGTACTGAAGGAAACGATGATGAGCGTTGCGACAGCAGCTGTTGAGAATTTTATGCATTGCATAGGCCTATGGGAGGGGGAAGAAAGCTAAAAGAGATCACAAGCACAAGCTATAAGGCACGTACTATCGTAATTCTAAAAGGAGTACACGTGAGCACTCACTCAAATGAATAAATAAATGAATAAATGAAATAAAATTATAAGAGACAAATGCATTTTTGGGACACCCCAATCGGCATAGATCTAATTGTATGACCTTGAAACAAAATTCTCTCACTGGAAAAAATAGAAAACAAAGAGGCCGGCCGGAGACCAGGGCAACGCATATATTCGCTTAGAACAGACGGGCGACGAGGATAGAAAGACCAGGAAATAATTTAATATAATAAAAGTGCCTCACAGCTAATTTTGAGAACATAATTATCCGAGCAGAAAACAGGCCAGCAACTGAGAGACAATTATTATCTTGATCGCCAGCTCTGTTACACGATGATGATGATAAATTAAATGGTTAGTGATGAGGATGTACAACAATGTGAGGATAGGAGGTAATTACACATAATTATAAAGGTATCATATTATGAATAAATAATAATTCGTGTAGGCCTATGCATATATATTCACATAATTATATGACCATTTCAGTGTAGCCTAATTTGAACCCCATTTTCTTGGAGCAAGATCTAGAATGTCTTTTGCTGTTGGTTTTTCGATCATCTCGACTTTGTGTGATTTAACAAAAACTATATTCTACAAAAAAAAAAGAGAAAGTATAATTTATCGAAGGTATACTGTTCAGCTTTTTCCTAAACCTGGTGCCAATAAGTTAACGTTTTACAGAACCCCCCTCCCCCCCAAAACAACAACAACAACAACAACAACAAAAAACAACAACAACAATTACAACAAACAAACCAAAAAACCCCAAAACAAACAAACTCAACAACTTCTAATTAACTCATCGGTCTGTCACTCATTCTCTGCACCCTTTCCTATGGTTATGTGCACCGTCACTCGCTACCATTTTTGTCGCCTGGTCAGTTTTCTCTATCCAGACCTACTATATATATCTAGCCTAGGCTATCTCACTATTCTCTCTCTCTCAGCACAAAATTTATTTTACTCTAAATCTAGATCAGTTTGTTTTCTTTCTTTTTAGGAATCGTTTTTAGAGCCCCGTACACTTGCAATGTTTTGATTGGTGCAGCGTGGTGCTGTAGCGCCGGAAACAGTAGCAATCAAGATGGCGGACGCCGACTTGGTAGTCCGAAACGATATTCGTTCAGCGATGTGGAATCCTGGTGGATGGAAAAGTTTGCTTTCATTTTTCATTCTTGCATTAGCATGGCTAGCTGGATTCAGTGCACGACTGTTTGCAGTCATTCGATTTGAAAGCATCATTCACGAATTCGACCCATGGTAAGTTCCACTTGTCACTCTACTCAAGACCTAGCCTCTCTAGACTCTAGTCTAGATTAGTCCTCTCTCTCTACTATGCTAGATCAGGGTCTATTCTCTACTCTAGAGTGTCTAGATCTAGATCAGCTCTATGCGGTGTTACTAAACTTAGGGTGCTTTTCCAGTAGTTCCCACCCCCGTTATTTGAGTCTAGATCTAGATTCTAGAATCTATGGAGCTAAGGTCATGTCAAACCTAACAATGTTCTGCAAAGGAGCCTCTGCAAAACAAAATTATGAGTACCCCCACCCCCCACCATATTTTTTACGAAGTGACTATTTCTCCGAACGTTCGGAGAAATAGTGCCGATCTTTATTTCTCCGAACGGTTTTCGGCTTCCGGTCTCGTGATTTTTTGCCTATTTATTGCGAGAGTTCGGCGCCAACTTTCATTCTGCCTCTGCCTCTGGTCTGGGAAGGAACACGTACCGCATGGCAAGCCCGCCTACAGACAACCTTCAGTAACACCCACCACACACCCACCACCATCATGCACATGTACACACACTAACTAAACATAACTAGTGGGCAACTTTTGAACGTATGACGAGCTGAACTGTGGATGGAGAGACAGTGTGAGTGAAAGAGCGGGTGAAAGGAAGAATGTGCGAGTGTATCCACAGGCGACAGCAACTAAAAGACGACGACACTGACCACCCCTGGCCTGGTCCACAGCTCACGAACAAAAGGAATGCAGCTCAGGCGGTGTTTTGCCTATATTATTGTCCATGGTTCGCAGGGAACAAGTGAGATTTTCTTTGTGTGTGCCTGGAGGGATGGGGTAGGGTATGAAAGTCATGCGGGCGGGGATGAGCCGCGGGAGAGAACACGGGAATTGAATGAAAGAGTGAAACTGAAAGAGACGAATGACTCATGAGTCCTGGAGTGAATGGATCCTGTGTTTCTATTTTTGTATACTTTGAACTGTTACTGAATAAAGGCTGAAATAAAGCCCGAAAAACAAACAAACACACACACACACTCCTCACTCTCCACTTACTACCACACACAGACACACTCAAACACTCACACATACATACACACACACAGCAAATTTTTGGGTCTATATCTATTTAAATTTTCAACAGCTAGTCTAGATGAGATTTTTAGATGAGTGTAAAAACGTGAAAAAGAAAGGTTTCATAACAGAAAGAAATCAAAATTAGAACAGCCCATAAACAACAACAAACATTAACAAATAAGGGCGTGTGTCCACCTGTCCGAAGAAGATTGGCAGTTTTAACCCTAAATGTGCGTAATTAAAAAAAAAAAGTACAGGATATTACATGTAAATTATGGAATCACACACATTAAGGGGCTTGCCAGTGTCAGTACATTGGTCGCAGCAGTGACAAACGCAGATGCCAGTTCTATGTGTAGTTATCAATAACCCTCCGTAGATCTAGATCTAGACAGCACACGAGTGAACACAACACATTACGTTTAAAAGCAGCACCTTTCATAGGCAACACGTCATATCTATAGCGAAAAACTGTTTGGAATTGTAGCATTTCTTTATATAAATATTTACGGCGGACATTTTTTGGACCGATTGAACCATATTGTATACGAACAATCTTTGGTAGGCCCATACTATAATTATAGATCTATATAATATCCGAAATTTGGGGGAAAGGATGATATTTCAGAGTGTTCGGAGAAATAGTGCCCAGCTTTATTTTCCCGAACGTTCGGAGAAATAGTGCCCAGCTTTATTTTCCCGAACGTTCGGAGAAATAGTGCCGGCCTATTTTTTATTAGGCCTGGGGGGCAAGCCCCCCTGAAACCCCCAACTCTTAGGGCCAAAACCGGCCAATAACAATTGTGGGGTGGGAACTATCGAAAGAGCCCCAGACGGCCTTTTAATTTCAAAGTGTATACAGACCCGGTAACCGGGAACAAAGTCACGAAGTATACAGACCCAGTAGGGGAACTCTTTTGTGATTTTGGAAAGTTTCAGAGCCCAGACCCAGTTGTGTGTGTGTGTATGTGTGTGTGTGTGTGTGTGTGTGTGAGAGAGAGAGAGAAAGAGAGAGGTTCTTCTAGCAAAATGGGTGCTTTTTCGGTAGTTCCCACCCCCCCCTTATTTGAATCTGACCTACTTCTAGATCTAGATCTATACGTTTGATTCGCGGTGAGCTAAGATATCAAACCTAAGAACAGCAAAACATTAAATTGTGGTAAAATTCAGGGGGGGCATGCCCCCCTGAAACCCCCCTTCCTATTTTTGTTAGGTCAGGGGCGGGGCAAGCCCCCCTGAAACCCCCCTACACTTGGGGCCAAAACCCGTGAATAACAATTGCGGGGTTGGAACTACCGAAAAAGCGCCGCAAAATGTATGTAGATTATGACATGCCCCAGTTGGCAGGAGGGAACGAGAGAAAGACAGTGGGAAATAGGTGGAGAGAAAGAAAGACATGATATAGACAAACAAAGAAAAAGAGAAAGCGAGCAATACAGAGAGAGAGAGAGAGGGAGGGAGAGAGAGAGAGAGAGACAGAAAGACAAACAGACAGACAGACAGACAGAGAGAGAGAGAGAGCAGAGAGAAATAGAGAGGGTGACTGCTCGATTGAAATTAAATGACATTGTTCTTTTTTTTCAAATTGTGATTCCTCCAACTCCAAAACGGAGGAAAAACGATCGTTCATCGAAAAGGCATCCCCGCAATCTTCATTTAGATCTAGAATCTAGATCTAGACTAACCTCGAAATTAGATCAATGATTTATGTCTGTCTGTCTAGATCTAGACCAAGGCCATCGATCTAGAAGTAGAAGAAGAACCTAGATTCTAGGTCTACCCTGAGCCACAGAATTCTAAACTAATTTGTGTAGAATTCTGTGCCCTGAGCCAAGAGGGGGCTGAAACTTTCCGAAATCACAAAAGAGTTTCCCTACCGGGTCTGTATACTTTGTGACTTTGTTCCCGGTTACCGGGTCTGTATACACTCCCTTTTAATTAGACTTTGATTTGCCAATAACTTTCATAGGCCTCTATACTAGACAGGTCTCTATAGATCTAGATCTAGATCTAGAGTAGAGTAAGATATAATGTAGGAATTGGCCATACTATTACATTACTTTGTTAATAAAAATTAGATCTCTAGAGTCTATCTGGGTCACCGCGTCTGCTTGGGTGCGCAACCCACGGTCTCCTGCTTTGTTTTGGATAAGAACAGCGAAAACGAGGTCACTTTCTGTGAGCATGCGCAGAATGCTGCTTATTTCACTTTCGTTTTGGAGGTTCCTGTCAACACACATGGTTTTACGGTGTCGGAAAGTTTTGCCCCTTCTTCATATTGATTGCTTTCGTAACCGGTATCGGTGAATTTACTAAGCGCTTGAGTAGTCGATTATTTAGCACATGATGGAAGTGGCAATCCTCATCCAGGGTGAGAATAAAAATACGATCGACCTCTCCCCCCGGGTGAGACTTGCCAGCATTGGCTATTCTCACCCGGTGTGAAACAACACCTGTTTTTCCTCATTTCGGAATGTTGTCTATCGGTGTGGATGATCAAATTGATAAAAGCCAAGAAAAAATGACGTTATAGCACAAAAGTATGATAATTTGATCGTCTACAAAGATGCTACGGCTATTTCACTTTTCGAATCGAGTGAACAACACAGGTCGCCATTTTGTTTTGCCCGGAAGTTCTCGCAAGATCTACTCCTCCTCCCCCCCCCCCCCCTCTCTCTCTCTCTCCCTCTCTGTCTCTTTCTCAGTTTTGAATACTGTCTATCGGTGTGGACTATCAAATTGACCAAAACAAAGTTAAAAAATGATGCTAAAGCCCAAAAGTAAATTAATTTGGTAGTCTACAAAGATGCTTTAAGGCTATTTAACTTTTCGAACCGAGCCGAACTACGCGGGTCGCCATTTTGTTTTGCTCGGAAGTTCTTGCGCTACTCCTCTCTCTCTCTCTCTCTCTCTCTCTCTCTCTCTCTCTCTCTCTCTCTCTCTCTCTCTCTCTCTCTCTCTCTCTCTCTCTCTCTCTCCCTCCCTCCCTCCCTCCCTCCCTCCCTCCCTCCCTCCCTCCCTCTCCCTCTCTCTCTCTCTCTCTCTCCACTGCCCTCAGACAAAATTGCACGCTTTTAGGCTAACATACTTAGTAATTGAACGTTTGTTCACGGCACAGAATTCTACAATTCTGTTATCACACTGTAGAATTCTGTGGTTCAGAGTGAACGCTACGCCTGTTGGCTGAGGCTATAACACGGTGAACGCACACAACGGGTGAGAATAGCCAAAAGACTCGCCTGCGCTATTCTCACCCGGGTTGAGAATAGAGGTGGCCTTAGCACATCTAGTTGATCTAGCTCTGTCTAATGTATCGTAGAATGTATACTAGAATCGATAAATACTATTGCAGGCTGCTTCTTAATGCCCAGGAATATGCCAGATAGGGTTGCGCACTGATGCAGACCAAATTTGTTCTGTCCGTTTTAAGTGCGCAATATCGGCTTTTTTGCTATTTGGCATTGTGTGGCTTCTAGGCCCTTTGGTTGTTTTACTTAAAAATAATTATATTATTAAGTTATTTCTTTATGACCTGCATTGTGCACGAAACAGACTATTTTCCTTCCGTTTGGATGCATTATATTGCTATTGGAAGATGATCAGAATGTATTTTTATGTCAAAATTAATATATGGAAATTTAATCTCCAAAATATTCAATTTCTTCTTTTCACGTCTTTTTCTTCGTCCTTTTCCTTTAAGAATTCTAGTCTAGGTATAGTCTAATTCTTGTTTTCTTCTTTCACCTTCTTGTGTCCACAGCACCTTTATTTTTATCCATTATCAAAACACATACACGGTATAAGGAAATTAAATCTCCTGTTAGGGGCGCACAGCTCCCAAAAAGAACACGCCTCATTGACCTTGGCCTTCCGTTCCGGTCAGTATAGGAACTTCTTGCAAGGAAAAGAAGACCAGGTCAGGATAGAGAAAGATGAAAAGTGTCAGAAAAGAGCTAGATTCTAGATCTAGAGCTGTAAACATGGTAGTATTGCGCACTCAACCAGACGATCTGTTGCACCAAAACAGACACCTTGCACATCAACCAGACACACGTTACCAAACACCACCGCAACATATAGGAATTTTAAACTGCTGGGTTTTGTAATGCGCTATACCGTATAGAGAGGAAGTCTGTCTAACTTCTGGTGAAAAAATCATGAAGATCGACCTGTAACTTTCAGAGATATCCACAAAAGATGGCTTACGGTATATCGCACTACAGGATTAACTCTCGTAGAAGTCTAGATCTATCTAGATCTAAGCCTATAATACAACTACAACAATAATTGAGGTATCGTTTTGAAGGTTTTGTCACTGCCTTTCTTTTAAAATGTATAGATCTAGGCCTATATATATATATATCAAATATCTAGAATCTAGATCTAGAGTCTAGATCTAGCTAGGCCTAATTTCGGCCCTAATCTAGAATCTAGATCTAGAGGTCTAGTCTAGATCTAGAATGTAGATCTATATACTTGTACAACAGACTGATTAAAAAATAAATATGAACAGAACAGCAGGACACCTACTAAGATTGTTTTGTTTGTTTTTGTAAAGTGTTTTACGGCGCTCGCAACTGCATAAGGTCATATGAGCCCGCGGGACACTCCTAATATTTTTCAGTTGGTAGGAAATTTTGAATTTTGCCCGGGTGGTGGCCGAAGCCTACTCATATCGATTTTAGACCACCAAGGGATCTTTAACCTGCGCAACTTGCACACGGGCCCTCCGCGATTTTTCGCCCTTGTCCGAGAAGGCTAGGTGTAGATCTTTCCTACCAGAAGATCAGGGGTGTGGCAGAAAAACCGCAGTAAGGAGGAGCCAAGGATTAGCAGTAGAAAGGCTGCAGAAAGAGTCAGGAGCCTAGAGGAGGGGGCAAAGGAGGTGAGGGGGTGGGGGCAGAAAGTGGAAATGAAAGCAGACAACAGAACATTGCTAGAGAGCAGGAAAGGAGGTGAAAGTAGGAGACAATTTTAGAGAAGAAAATTTTTCGGTCGCTCCCTGGATTCAAACCCGGGACCTTTGAATGAGAGGCCAACACCTTAACCTCTAGGCCACGAGAGCCCCCACCTACTAAGATGAGAATTAAGATCAGCACAAAAGTTTTTAAAGTTAAACATTAAAGCCTTTGTGTCTATTTAGATTTTAGCTGCAGCAAACAGTTTAACAAGTAGTCAACCTTGACTTATGATTAGATATACGGAGTGTCTGCGTACACGGTAACCGGGCACCTTGCCTCAGTGTCTACGTATACGGTAACCGACAACTGGTCACGTAGTCTTAGTGTCACGTACACGGTAACTGGGCATGTTGCTTCAATATCTATGTACATGGTAACCGGCAACCGGGCACGCAGTCTCAGTGTCACGTACTTGGTACCCAGGCAAGTTCAGTTTTTGTCTTCTGATGTTGCCTTCATCCCCACCCCTCCCGGGACTGTACCTTAAAAAAAAAAAATTTCCCCTTTCCGGAGCCCTATACTTTGAAGCGCACAGACTTTGAATGAACTTTGGTGACCCCAACTGGTACTCACAATGTGATGCGCACGCACAGGTTCACTGACCGGTCACGATGACGAGCCCAACAAGACGCTTGTATGACTTTCTTTTTTTCAGCAAGTGAAAAGTAGTTAACTTCACTTGAAAGATGGCTAGAAAGACATCAGTATGATACCATTGAAATCATTATAATAAAAACGAATCTGTCTAATAGTTTGTTTTAGTTTTCCACACTTCTTATTTTCAACAGATTAGAAAATAAGATAAGATTGCCTCGGATCTCGCATATTTGTGTCACGACGTTGTGGAATCAGGCTCTCGTCCATTTTTGGGCATGTAGAGTTATTAGTATCATCTTAAAGCTTGTTTACTTGTCATTTTATATGGCTAAAAAAATATCCATTTATCTTGATTACAAGTCGAGATATTTGCGAAAGAAGGAGGTCGGGTTCACCTATTTTCAGAGGTAAAATTAGTGAGAAAATGGCCGCCAAAGATTAGTTATTTCCTTAGCTAAAGACTAGTCCGTGGTAACCAAAAATAACAAAAAATGTACATTTTTTGTACCTTTAATCAATGTTTAAAAAAAAAATCCACACATAAGTGAGTTCTTTAATGGGTATGAAAGGTGTTGAGCCAAAAAACAAAAATTTGATAAAAATTTACAAACCTGCGGAAAAATGCAAGTTTCTTCACTTTCATTATTTTGATAAGAGCCTGATTCCACCACGCTTCTTCACATTTGGTTGAGGTTGATTACTTGTTTTATGAAGCCTTGTCAAAACTTAATAAATACTTAAACTTTGTGCCCCCCTACCAGGTTCAACTACAGAGCAACCCACTACATGGTACAAAATGGATTCTACAATTTCTTAAACTGGTTTGACGACCGAGCATGGTACCCATTGGGCAGAATTGTGGGGGGAACGGTGAGTGCAAACCCTCAAGTCATTTTCAATTGGTAAAAGTAGTCTCTATGCTTTAATGGTTAGTCATTTTGTGATGTCGATGTCTAACCTATTGTTGTATTTTTGAAACATATTCAAGGTTCCTAATTGCTAATATTCCTGGTTGAGAAAGCAGGTGCTTTCCATGTATTATCTAACCGTAACAATGTAGCGAGTAGGTCCTGGAGAAAGGAATGGATCAAGGGTGTAACAAGAATCTCAGTGGGTAAAATTTCTTATGTTTGCTGTTCCACATGTTCCCTGCTGGTATTTTGAAGAATGTTGTTGCTGTACATCCAGTACCTTTTTTGGTTTTTGGCCCATGCCATTTTGCCCACTTCAATGTCTTGTGGTTGGCAGGTTGGAAATCCGTTTAAGTTGGTTTTGTTTCAGTCAAAAAGGGAAGTAAAAGTTAACTTGCTTTGAGAAAAGAAAGTTGAGAATTGCCCATTTTTCAGACTGCCTTTGTGGAAGTTGATTTTTATCAGTAGTAAAGTAGGGCGTTCAAGCAGTTCTCATTTGAAGCTCTTAGTATGCCCACATGTTGACATGGACGTGTTCTTCCCTCAGGTGTACCCGGGCCTCATGGTGACTTCGGGCTCCATCCACTGGTTCCTGAACCTACTGAACATCCCAATACACATCAGAGACATCTGTGTCTTCCTCGCCCCTGTCTTCAGGTCAGCAGCCAGGCGCTCTTGCCTGGTTTGAACACTTTATAAGAATGCTGTTTTGTCAGATAGGAAATTTTTTCTGGAGAGATTTTAAGCTTTTTTGTGGATTGTGTGTTTGCCTCTTTGGAATCTTATTAGGTGCCACAGATTGGCCATATCATGGGTTGTAGTAGTTGAGAAGTGGAATTTTGTATCTTTATCTCGAGCTGAATAACTTATTCCTTTTGATATGGCTGTATCTATATCTACAACAGCTCTCTCTTTGCAAGGAGTCTCAAAGATAACCATTTGTGCTGTAAAAAATATTTTTTAGGCCTTGTTATTAAAGATATGTATAGCTTTTGTGATAGATGAACAGCAGTATGTTCTAGCCTTTTTCTCTGAAGAAATGTCTCAGTTTTGTGTTGATGTGTTTTTTATTGTTGGGAGTCTGTGAGTGGGGTGTTAAAATTGGTGCTGTGTTTTTATTGAATGTTGGTTCTTTCCATCTGGCTTCAACCAGACGTTTATTGTTACATGATGTGTAAAGTTATCAGCTTTTCTCGTAAATTCTACTGATCATTTAAAGAAAAAATTGGGTCAGTATATTTATACCAAGTTGTTCCTCAGAATGCTTATATTGTTATCTTTACTCTAATTTGTATAAAATCTGTCATAAGGAGTAACCCCCCACCCCTTCCACAAACACACATGCACAAATTTATGCACCCATACTCACTTTCATGTTTGACTTTTGACCTCCCTCAGTGGCATGACATCTATGTCTGTGTACCTCTTCACTAAAGAGATCTGGAGCCCTGGAGCTGGCTTGTTTGCTGCCTGTTTCATCGCCATCGGTAACTAGTTTTTCTTGCGTCATCATCATCGTCACATGTGTTGTCACCAGTGTTGTCCATCTCATAGACCTGCATGTTTGCCGACAATCGCAACCCGATCCGCGATCCAGCCGATGCTATCGCAAGGCCCACCTGTATAAGTCAATATGCAAAGTGCGAGCCCTGGCCGATTGCCAGCGCCCCCCTTTTCTCCGGTCGGCTTTGTCTGCACTTTCGCTTTCGTGCCGACTACCGACGTCAGCGTTTCCGAGATAATTGTCGGAACCTGAGTAGAAATACGAATACGAAAAAGGACGACTACCTAAATTAGAACTACTTTCAGTTTCGTGCTTGAGCGGCCATTTTGAATTTCATCTGCTGACCGATTGTTCGGATGTGGATTCATTCAAGGCCTAGGGCCTATTCACTTGTTCTACTCTAAATCTAGATTTATACAGATCATTATAGACCTCTATGGAGGATTCATATTCCAATTCTATTGTGTCAAACCCTATTATAGGTTGTGCTGTAATGTTAATGTTGGCAAAAGAGCATTTCAGCGGGTGTGTTGATTATTAGATTTTAGATCTAGACTCAGCGGAGTCCCTCTGTTTGGATGGAGATTTCGTTCAAGGCCTAGATCTAGCTATTCTTATTCCATTGTTCTACTAGGTCTAGAGATCTAGATTTATTTGGATTACTATATTGGGGATTCATATTCCAATTCTATTGTGTTAATGTATCAAACCCTATTATAGCTAGATCTAGATCATGCAATGTGCAATTAGGATGCTCCTTATTTGTTTTGGGGTGTGGTTTTAAAAATTATTTTGGACTTTTGCTGGCTTAAAAAAAATCACATTTCTGAAGGGCCGTTGCAGGTTCTTTTTTGGGGGCTTATGCCCCCCTCATGTACCTCTACAAGTGCTGCTATTTTATGAGGGAGGACTTCTGTAACCAGCGACCACTATGAGACAAAGTAGAATAGAGGGCTACTTTTAGGGGGTAGGGTTTGGGTTAGGGTTAAGTATCTTCTTTATTGTGTTTGTTGGGGTGGTCGCTCGTTACACGGAAATCCTTTCTTTTATGACACCCACGAAAGCCCCTGGTCTAATCTCACTACAGTAAGCTTGCTCTCTTGTTAAATTCTGTTATCCTTTGTAAGATGCTCAGGTAATCTGTCGCTTTTCACCTTGTCTTTTTTGGTGGTAAGTGGGTGCCCTGTGTAGTTTGCTCCTTCTCTCCTGTCTATCGTCCTGATCTCTCCTTCTTTTTTGCCTTTGTTATTCTCTTGTAATATGTGTAATCTTTGGCATAATATGAACTTATTGTGTTTCAAGTGCTGTAAAATTCTTATAAAACCAAACTGTGTTTCAAGTGCTGTAAAACTCTTACTAAAACTAAACTATGCCTTGTCCTTAAAAATTGTTAATAATAATAGATAGCATTTGTATAGCGCAAATCCCCGCTCTTCAGCAAGCTCTATGCGCTTCACAATCTAAACTATTACCCCAGCTGACCTCAGACCATTCTGAAACAACTTCAACTTCCTGGGAAGCATACAGTGCAATCAGCCATTTACAGGCGCTAAAACACTAACATACTGACAAGATCTTTCACTGTCTGTGGCTGGGTACCCATTCCCACCTGGATGAAGTGGGGAAAATTTGTGTAAAGTGCCTTTCCCAAGGACACAATGTCGGGCCCGCGGCTTGAACCACCGATCTCGCAACCTCGCGATTACGAGTCCGGTTGCCAAAATCATTATTATTATCGTTCCCTCTTGCCCTGTATGAGCAGTGGGTGGTTGAAGGATGCCACCGGATGGATCTACATCTTTACTTCTTTTTGTATCTGATAATTTTTCTTGTTTTTCCTGTGCCCTAAGTGACTGAAATTGTGTGAATGTGCTTCTCTTAACTCAAACCTGTATGTTCTTATTAGCCATGTGATGATCTCGGATCTGCTAAATTGTTCGACTGTCATAAAATTTATATCTGTACGAAAAGTAAAAAGACATATCTCTTTCCTCCCCAGTTCCTGGTTACATCAGTCGGTCTGTGGCTGGTAGCTATGACAACGAAGGCATTGCTATTTTTGCTCTCATGTTCACATACTTCTTGTGGGTGAGTAGGTTACTAGTGAGAATGATCATTTGGTTATTATTCTGTTCTCTACTTACAAAGATTCGACTCGTTACGTCAAGTCTGTGCTCCTCTACAGCTGCGAAACTTGGGAAGACAACAAAGACAATACTGAATAAAGTCCAGACTTTCATCAACAGATGTATGAGGAGTATTCTAAGAATTAAGTGGCAGGATAGAATAGGAAATGAAGAGCTGTGGGAAAGGACAGGACAAAAGGATATAGAAGTAGAAATAGGACTAAGAAAGTGACGATGGATGGGACACACCTTAAGAAAGCCCAGCGGAAACATCACAAGACAGTCACTGCAGTGGAACCCAATAGGAGCACGGGGCAGGTGTAGGCCATGGGAAACATAGAGGAGATGCGTGGAAAGGGACATGGAAGGAGCTTGTATGTGGCCTATACCCTGCCAGGGGTGAAAGGCATTGATGATGAGGATGATGACTTACAGATGGGCTGTGGTACAGGGGACAGGTGCTCTGTGGGAGGGAGGGGGAATAGAATTTAAAGGGTGTCACAACATATTGACAATTTCAGGGTAATGTAATAAGTTGCTATTGTTTTTATTGTATCTGTGTGCTATGAAGTTGCCCTCCCCCCCCTGCAATTTCAAGGAAAAGTAGCTTAACCATGCTTTGGCACTGTATGGATTTTAGGGGGGGGGGATGAAGCTTTGAATATTTCTCCTCTTGAATTGTTGGTGCCATTCGTGTTATTGACCATCATTAGCGCTGTTGTTTTTATGCTAGTACTATGAGGTTTTTTTTGTAACAGATGCATGTTTTATAAAAGAATTTTCATAGTCTCTTTTGATATTTAGAAAACTAAAAACTTCAGGGAAGGGGGAGGGAGATAAATTGTAGTTAAACACATGTTCCACATCTCACAATTAAAATGTTTCTATTTTCAGATCAAATCTGTGAAGACCGGCCAAGTGTTTTGGTCAATATGCACTGCTCTCTCGTATTTCTACATGGTGAGCATCTTATGTGCACAGAACTCACGCACACGCTCAGAACATGCACGCACACATACTTCTAGGGATGTGCTATTTTGTGGCTTTTTTTCATTATTTTCAACAGACAAACTGGTACCGTTCTCAGCATTTGTTTTCTGTTTAACCTTTATTAGTTGTGCCTATTCACTAGTCTTTTTGTTTGCAAATGCAACTTTGTAAATTTTCAAGTATTTTCGCAAATTTCCAGTGGTAGATATATATATCAAATTTTTTCACCACTGTTTTCAGATCGAATATGGTGAACTGAAAGAAAATAATTTTCGTCTTCTTCTTTGTTTATATAAGAAAATTATTAGTTAGTCGAAATACTCCCTTTTCTTAACTGAAAAGCATTTCGAGGATTATGTCAATTTAGTCTTCAATAGCAATCCAAAGATTGCAAAACGGAAGAAAAAGACATGAGAATACACATGTCTTATTGTGGGCCAGAGAGAGGCATTGTATGTGTACTGTTTGCCTACATGTATTGCACAAATCATTGTGCATAGGCTAAGTGATGCAAGGAGAGCGAATGTACTTAGGTTGTGCAAACTTAAGTTGGTCATGGACTTTTGTCTCCGCAAAGCTAGTTCACAAAGGCCCTTCACGTGAACACATGACGGCATGTTGTGTTTCAGGACATCACTGGCATTAGGCTTTCTTTCTCACTTCTCTATCAACTCTTGGAACTATTCTCTGTGACTAATCAGTAGATTAAGCTGATAATGTCATAGAGAAAGAACAGTGCATACAGCCTGCCGTTCTTATTACAGTTATTGAGAGAGATATTTGAAAGAAAAAACTTTCCAAAAGTTAAATTTGGGGTTCAGGCATAGCATTCCCAACTGTAAGTGTCGACACTCATCACTATTTGAGCAACTCTTTAAAACAGTACAAAATCCAGCGGTCCCAGTATTTGTTTTAAGCCGGCTCCAAAGTACATTGTATTGTGATGTATACATTGAGCTAACATGTTTGATGGAAAGGACAGTTGAGGACAGACAGAAAAAGTTCTCTTGGCTGGGCAGGACTTTGATCTGTGTTTTAGGGAGTTGGACGAGGGTGAGGGTGGGTTTCATGATTCCTAAGTGCTTTCCTTTTCCTGAAATATTTATTTTAAAAAAAACTATCAGGGAATTGTGTCGTTTAATATCAATGAACTGCCGGTGCATTCAAAAGTCGTGAGTAGGGATTCCCAGATTTTGTCTTGTGTCACTATCTTTCTGCTAGGATGTAAAATCCCATTCAGGCTGGGTCAAAGTGGCCTGCCTCCTAAACGATCTAATAATTTGTATCAACTCAGTTGTACAACATTGATAGCCTTTTCAATAATGATGAAGCTGTTCTACACCTCTCCCCTTAGTGACTAGAACTCGAGGAGGATATCTGCACTACAATAATCTTGTGTTGACAATTAAGGAGTCTGTATATATAGTATGAATAATCTCTCATCAGGCAAGCTGTTTCATAATGAGTAATTCACTGTGTGTGCGTGCGACCGTCCCCCCTGGTATGTGCTGCCACAGCTGTGTATTCAATAACAATAGGAACGCTTCATGGTTGCATTGATTTTTCCTGAACAGGGTTTGTGAAATGCAAAGGGCTGTCTCAAGAAAAATCTTCTCTTTGTCTATATTATCTTTTGCCCATTGTTACTGTTTGTCTCAGTGTGTAGGCCATGAGTTGTGCAAAGGACCATGGAACTTTATGAATATACGTGCAAAATAATGCCCACATGAAATATCACCCAAAGGCACTGTAGGATAAAATTAGGTGTTAGACGCATGGGCAAGCCCCCCCCCCACACACGCACAAATGAAAGAAAAGAAAATTAATACAAAATATTAAAGCTAGGTTTTTTTATAAAATGCCTGTCAAAGCGGAATGCGTTTTTCTTACTTTTTGCTAAAAGAAGCGTGAGGTCTTGACACCCCCGAATAAACAAAGCACTACAACAGCAACCCAACAATAACATAGATAAATGAAACTAAAACAATAGATAAAGCAAACATTGACGCTTCTGATTTCTCTCCCCTCCTGTAGGTGTCGGCGTGGGGTGGCTATGTTTTCATCATCAACCTGATCCCGCTGCACGTGTTTACACTGCTCCTCATGGGACGCTACTCACAGCGAATCTACACAGGTCAGTCCCCATGTCAGCTGTGTTCCTTTGTAACTGTCTTGTTGTCATAGGAGTATGTCACTAGAAGGTCTGTTCTCTTATTAGATGGGTCTCTGTGTTATAGCGTTAGGCGCTTTGCCATCGCTGGATAATTTTTATCAAGTATATCTGTCTTTTTGATGTGGTGTTGTATCCTTCACAGTCGGGGTTAGCCCTGACAATCATGGTCGAAACCCATTTCCTAAACGATGTAGTACCCACCGTGGCGATGCTACTGACTGAAGTGTCTTTAGGCCTTTCCCAAAGGGGGACATTAACATGTTCTTATGCACAGTAGAATTGGAAATGGGCTGATTCATCAATGTCATGCTCATAACTGTGCCTGAACTGCAACAGGTAACTGCTGATTTTTCTTTCCTAATCCTTACTATCGTCATTTTCCTCTACTTCTTTTGTATGTTTGTCACCCTCTTGTGACCCTCTATTTCCGGGGTTCCTTGATAGTCGAAGCAGGGTTTGTGCTGTTGAAGTTGGAGAGGCGAGCAGAGTAAGCCTGATTTCCAGTAAGGACTTCTCTATTGACATCCTACCCTTGGCGCTCATATGACCTTATGCTGTTGCGAGCACCAAAAAACCTCTACTAAAACAAACGAAGTAACTTGTTTTAATGGGAATGTAAAAACACCAACATTTATCCAAACAAATTCTTTTTATCTCATCTGTCATTGCTAAGTATTTGGTCTTTTCTCTTCCTGACACTGAATGACCATGATAAAGGGGTGGTTCAAGGTGAGCACTGGCTTGATCTATTTCTTTTCTTTCATTCTATTGTTTCTGTCTGTCTTTTTTGCATTTTTGCTGTTCTAAATGACTGTTAATGTGTTGATTTACTTCTCATCATTCAAACAAACAAATAAAGGTGGGTGGTTGGCGGGTGCTCTGGTGTGGTTTGCTTCTTCTTTATTCCCACCCGGGGTGAAAATAAAAATATAATATTATTCTCAACCGGGGTGAGAATAATATCCATTTTATTCTCAACCGGGATGAGAATAATATAATATTGTTATTCTCACCCCTGGTGAGAATAAAATGAATATTATTCTCACCTGTTCTGAGAATGCAATTTTTATTCTTAGGCCAACCTGGGTGTTGAGAACGCGTAGGCCTATATGTAGGCTAATAGGATGATAGAAAATAATTTGTGAATTGTAAGACAAGAGTGACCATTCGTGACCTGCCCCAGAGCTCAGGTCGATTTTTCTTGGCTCCCGCTGGGGTTGTTATTGTTTCATTTTTTTAATTCTTGAGAGTATGCATGCCTTCACCAACCCTATACAAGTGTATACTATAAATTCAGAAAGGAATTCACTTGCCAGAGTAGTATATTTAAAAAAATAATAGCCTTAACTGAAAGCTGTTTAATGAAATAATGTTAGTAATAGTTTGTCATTGTAGTGTTAGAATTGGCATTTGTTTACAACACAAAAAAACATGTTTAATTGTTATTCCTAACAGAACCCACGCTTATTTTTAAGGCATTGCGTGCCTTGACCCTATGCTTATTTTTTTCTTAATTTTGATTGGTTAAACCATTCAAGAGTAAAATTTTCCATTAGGCCTACAGAACCAATAAATAGCAACAAAAGGTGAAGCTATTTGCTCAAAAGATAAGGTTTTCGCACAAATTGACAATAGTCGCCTCATGGGCTTGAGAGCTGGTCCGCCCGTTGGCGATCTTAGTCACCTCGACGCTCAGCGGAGTGAGAGAGGGAGGCGAGTTTTGCGCCTGGAGCGCTCAGTGACTGGGGTCCTATGATGCCCGAAATGAAAAAAAACGGGTGAGAATAGAAGGCTGTCATTATTCTCACCCGGGGTGAGAATAGTATCAATTTTATTCTCAACCCGGGTGAGAATAATATCCAGTTTATCCTCACCCCGGGTGAGAATAATCACTCCGTCCTGTCAAACATCTATCGTCCGTATCTCCTCTCCTTTTTTATGTTTGTTACACTCTTGTAACACTTCTAATCTTCTGGCGCTCATATGACCTTATGCAGTTGCGAGCGCCGTAAAACCTCTACTAAAACAAAACAAATAAAGAGAAAGAGATTCAAGATGTATTTTCTTGTTCATCATTTTTGCCTGTTTTTTAGTTTTTCATTCTCCTGACACTAAATGACCACAATAATGCTTTGTTGGCCACAGATGTGACACGGTTTTCTCTCTTTCTACTCCAACAGCGTACAACTGTTTCTACATCGTGGGCCTCATCCTGTCCATGCAGATTCCATTTGTTGGCTTCCAGCCTATCAGGACAAGCGAGCACATGGCTGCCGCGGGTGAGACTGACTGCTCCTAGCTACGTGATGTTGGAATGTTTATGTTTGTGTGTGCGTGCGTGCATGTTTGTGTATTCAGGAGGGGGTGGATGGGTGGGGGGCCCGCAATGGTTAATTTGATGCTAAAATGTGCGAGTTGTCTTTGTGATTATCATAGCAGTATACGAGCAGCTCTTAAGAAATCTTTCGATAGTAATTCTTTGCATGTTGGAAAAACTTAATGTTTGGTTAGCATTTTGCACTTTAATTAGATCTTTCAGTACAAAGTTATAGCACTTCAAAGAACACAGGGGTCCTATGGAAAATTTTTACAGGAAAGGGCCTAAAAAAAATTTTCATGACATGATTAGGCTGCATGAATTAACTGTTGAGCCTCCTTAGTCAATTAATTTGTAGCTCTTGAGTGAAATGTTTCCATATTACATTGGACTTGATTGGTTTTGGTGAATGTCTTTTGTTTTCATCTAGGTGTGTTTGCTCTGCTGAATGCTTACGCATTCCTCAAGTACATTCAGAACTTCTTGACCAAGTCCGAATTCCGCTACTTTTTCATCGCCGCTGTGACATTTGCTGCCGCTGTCGTCTTTGTTGCTGTGGTTGGCCTTACCTGGGCAGGTTCGTTTTTGTCTCTTGTGTTGTTGGAACTTTCACACTATAATATCTCAGCAAGGGAAGCCATTGTGATTTAAATAACTTGATTGTTGTTTATGGGTATCGCATACCCAAATGGCCGCTGGATCGGAAAAGTAAAGTATGGGTATCACTTTGAACTGGAAATCTCAGTGTACTGGCAGCCAGGGACGAGTTGTGAGCAAGAGGAATCTGCACGTGCAGTATGAAATGTGTTAAAACATTTACAATCAATGACATTGTTGCTAGGGGAGGTGTTAAGTTGGCTAGTTGCCCCCATCCCTCTTTCTTTTTTCTTGATTGACTGACTCACTTGTTGCCTTGAACCATAAGTTAGTAGTGTATGATTTTCATGACTTGTGGATGGAGTGTGTGGTTTGAAATGTCTTGAATACTTGTCGATGGCACATATGATTTAACATGTGGTATTCTTGGAATACTTTTTCATGGGGTGTATGTGATTTGAAGCGACGTTTTGAGCATTTGTCTGTGCGCCATGTGATTTGGAATGTTATTTTGAACACTTGTCAATGGGATATATGTTTTGAATTGTTTTTGAACAATAATCGTGGGAAATAAGATTTGAAATGTAGTCTTGAGCACTAATCGTTGAAATATGTGATTTGATTTGAAGTGTAGTCTAGAGCCAGAAGCTTGTGGTGTATGTTTCCAGGTTACATCGCCCCTTGGAGCGGCCGCTTCTACTCACTGTGGGACACGGGCTACGCCAAGATTCACATCCCAATCATCGCTTCGGTGTCAGAGCACCAGCCCACCACCTGGGTCTCCTTCTTCTTTGACCTGCATATCCTGGTCTGTGCCTTCCCAGTGGGTGCCTGGTACTGCATCAAGAACATCAACGATGAGAGGGTCTTTGGTGAGTTGCGCTTCCTAGATGTCAGACTCTTTCTCTCTAGCTATCTCTTTCTCTCTCTCTCTCTCTCTCTCTCTCTCTCTCTCTCTCTCTCTCTCTCTCTGTCTCTCTCTCCCTCTCCCTCTCCCTCTCCCTCTCCCTCTCCCTCACTCTTTTTTTCTCTCTTCCCGTGTCTGTCTCTTTGTTTATCTGTGACTGCTATGATTCACTTTCCAAACCATTGTATTTCTTGATCTGATATCTCCCCTTCATATTTTCTCTTTCATTCTCTCCTGTCTCAATGGGTGGTTGGCATGTGCTCTGGTGTGGTTTGCGCCTTTTTTCCCATAAAATATCTATCGTCTTTATCTTTCCTCTTTCTTTTTTTTTTATACGTTACTCACAAGGCACTTATATGACATATTTGTGTTACAAATGTCATAAAACTTCTTACTAAAACCCAACTCTCCCATGTCTTCCCCTGCAGTGGTCCTGTACGCCATATTTGCCAGTTACTTTGCTGGCGTCATGGTGCGTCTGATGTTGACCTTGACCCCTGTGGTGTGTGTGCTGGCTGCCGTCGCCTTCTCTAAGACGTTTGAGGTCTACCTCAAGGACGACTCGCCTAAGCAGAACCAGAAAAGTCTGGATGAGAACGGAGAGAACAAGAATGACAGACTCTACGACAAGGTGAGAGATGCTCAGGTAACGGTGGCATCGGACGTCGAACTTACTTCTCATACTTGGTTATATGAGCCCCCGGAGCAATAAAATGAACACAGAGCAGTAAAATGAGCACTGGCAGAACGTCGTGCTTTGCAAGACCTTTGCCCACTTGATATGCATTAGTTATTTTGGTGAAGGGTAGAAACATCTAGATTGCAAATTACACGGAGCTTGCTTTTGGGTGGAAATTTGCGCTATACAAATGCCATCTTTCATCATTAAATACCCCAGGAAGAGTGTTACGTCATTATTTTGACCCTTTAATTGTTATATTATGAGTATTTCTACTGGCTGTCATGGTATGCTTACTGTGTAAGCAGTTTGAGGTTTTTGACCCATTGACTGTTTTTCACATTAAAATATAGTACTACTTTGGAAGAGGCTATGAATTGTGTGTTGTCTGAGAAGACTCAGTGGTAATGAAGAGCTGTATGTTTCATGGTGTCTGTGTGGTGGTGGGGGGGGGGGGGGGTGTGATGATTAACACTTTGCAGTCACACTGCCAGCTGTACAAAATATCCCATCTGGTCACCCAGCCTGGAGAGCGACTGCAACCGACTTCTCAGGCCTTTTTCTTTCAGCGCTTTATTGCGCCAAGTGGCTGCAAAGTGTTAAGAGCAGTGTACATTTTGTGTGTATGGGTGTTGGTCTGAGTATACTGGTGGGCATGGTTGGAGGATGCAACTGGTAGGTCTTACTTCATCATATCTGTCCGTTTGTCATGGCTGTCTGCCTTGCTTTTTCCTTCCTTGAACTAAATGACCGTTGTTTTTGTTTAGATGTGCTTCTCTTTACTTAAAAGTAGATTGGTGCTTATCAAGGTCTGTCTTTTTTAGGGTTTACATTTTTAAGTGTGAGTGTGTGTTGTTTGAGTAGAGTGGTGGAAATCAAGATTTGTGTTTTTTGTGGACATTTGCGTGTGTTGTGAGAGTGGACCAGTGGTAACCAAGGTGTTTTTATTGTGTGTGTGTGTGTGTGTGTGTGTGTGTGTGTGTGTGTGTGTGTCTTTGTTGTTGGAGTAGACCAGTGGTAATCAAGGTGTTTTTATTGTGTGCACATTTGTGTGTTTGTATATGAGTTGTCTGGGTAGACCATTGGTAATTAAGATGCTTTTATTATGCATACATTAATTGTGTAACAATGTGGTGGAATCAGTCGCTTGTTAATTTTTGTGCATGTGGAGTTATTGGTATCATCTTAAAACTTGTTCATTTATCTGGCTTTTGATGAAAAAAATACCCATCTATTGCCCGCTTGTCTATTTTTGTGCATGTGGATTTAGTGGTATAATCTTAAAGTTTGTTCATTTATCTTGCTTTTGATGAAAAAAATACCAATCTATCTTAAGCAGAAGTGAAGATATTTGTGATTGAAAGAGGTAAGTTCACTTGGTTTCAGCAATGAAAATAGAGAGAAAATGGCCGTCATAATTTGGTAGCTTCAATAGCTGAAGAGTCCTTGAAAACTTAAAAATTACATATTTTGAGCTTTTCATCAACATAGTTGAATATAATTCACTTGGAAATGTGTTATTTGGACATAAAAGAGTTGAACAAAAAACCAAAAATCTGATTAAAATTGCGAAACTGATTGGAAAAAGCCTGTTTCTCCAATTTTGTTATTTTTATGAGCGCCTGATTTCACCACAGTGTCTCACATTTGACTTGTATATATCTGTGTGTTTGTGTGTGTGTAGGTGGGCAACAAGAAGAAAGTGAGGGAGGACAAGCCGCAGGAAGAGGAGGGCCTGGGCATCAACGTGAAGAGCATCATCATTGTTGCCCTGCTCATGATGCTCATGTTGTTTGCCGTCCACTGCACCTGGGTCACCAGCTCCGCCTACTCCAGCCCCAGCATTGTGCTTGCCTCCTATGGACAGGGAGGGTGAGTCTCCTACCCCGGCACTGCACTCGATTGGCTTGTTACGCTTATATTAGCTAATAGTTGAACGAACCTCTTGTACTGTGTCAAAACGTCTGTGTGTTCATTGGGG